TCTGATGAGGCCACTTTCACGTTAAATGGCGAGGTTAAGGCCTGGCGCAAATTGAGCACAGCCCACGCACATCCCAAGCGTAGCATACGCGTAGGTTATTTTGTAAAACCTGGTGTTAGACGGAGCGACGCATATTAAACCCAAACCATGGCCAGGCTAATGCCAGACTTGGTTGGCGAGAATAGAGTTGTGCTAGCAACACAGTTTCGTGGGTCGTGGGCATCGAGCAATAAGACAAAAGAGGGAATCTAATCCTGATGAAAAGGAGACCAGAAAAGTGGCCTCTGATGGCGGACATATCCGGAAATGCGAATGCGCCAAATTTAAATTTTCCGACACTTATTAACAGAAGCTATATAATATTTTTCAGAATGTGTCTTAGACGAGAAAGTTTTAATTAATTATTAATGATAAGAGTCTAAAATGCGACACAATTGTTAAAAAACTTCAATATAAATAAGATTTCATGTGACATTTGGGACAAACAATAACATAACCCAACTAAATTTGATGTCAAACAAGGAGAGAGACTCTCTTTCCTTGTTTAATGTGGCCTCTAAAGATCGCACTTCCTGTCTAACAATATGTTTGCCCCACTACCTTTACATTCCCTCTTTTATCTTTTTGCTCGATGGTCGTGGGTCTCTACCTAACCTTAGTTATGATGTCATTTTCTGTACTGAACGAAGAGTTCCCAAACGTAAAAAACTAAAATCGGTAGAATTCTTTTTAAAAATCGGTAGACTGTGGAGTAAAATCGGTAGATCTTTCAAAATATTATATTTTGTTTATTTATATATAATTTTATAATGTTTTGCAATTCGTTTATTAAAGAAAAAATAAAATATATTTTAAAAACCTCTAAAAAAACTGACTGAAATTTAAATCTTTAAATGAGTCTGTGACTAGGAATCGAATACTTATCCGAGAACCGAAACCTCGAGTATAAAACCCTTTTACAAGGAAATATTATACAACAAACAGACTACCGAGTTTCTACGTGAGGTGCACTCGGAAGCTTATATTATTAATTATGCGTTGTTCCGGTTTTTAGTTTCCTAACTTGACAAATTCCCTGAACCAAGCGGTCGGGATCACAATGGATTTGGATTCATTTATTGTATTATTAGCTTTTATGAGATCATGTATTTTGTAAAGTACCGCTTAGGTATCATTTAAGAATAAATACTGCGAACACTGCGAAGAATACAAATATTTGATATGGGCGTGGGCTGTGTTCAATATGCGTTATTATTGAAAAACGTGTACTTGGACTAGGTTTGACCATCCGTGAGTTGCGCGTGGGATATGCAAGGGCTGTGGTCAATTTGCGGAGGGCCTAACCGTCAGAATCACATACCACTAATAACTAAACGTTTCACGTAGGTAGCTCAAGATCAAACTAAACTAAAATGTCATTTGTAGTACCAATACAAATCTTTTGATGTCGCTATACTCCACATTTAGTCTATACTCTGCAATTTAGGTTTGGAACCAAACTAAAAATTATAATTGTCAATCGCTAACTGTCAGTATTAGTAATATAATAATAATTGATTAACGTCTATATAACCAGATTTCAGATGGATATTATTCGTCTAAATTGTTTGATTTGATGGTTATTATTGGAACGAAATCAAACTAAACTTGGTTTAATATCTCTGGGTTATTATTAGCATTAACCTGTGGCTTAATGTTATAAAAAATCCCAATTTAGATATGATGAATTCTACAATCCACTGCAGATTTTAAAACAAAACGAATATGAAGATTAGTTTGCTTCTACATGGAGTCATAGCTTGTACCAAAATGCAATTTCCGAGAACAAATAACTGATTGATTTTGGATTCTTTTTCTAATCTACATCCCAGAAGTATTTCAATGTTGTGCGCGGAAACAAATGTAATATAAAGTAAGTAACCCTAATATGACATTACATTTGTAATTAATAAAAATTATTTTATTTGAAGTGATTCATGGTACAAATTATTATATTAACTTTTTGTTTTAGTTGAAAATTCTTCAACAAGTAGAGATGCACAATCTACACACATGCTTCAATCATTTGAGATAACCTATTGTAGTATATATAATTGTACAATTTTCAGTTGTAATAAAGTTTATTTCTATTGTATTCTAAATTAATATACAAAGTTGTTTGACATATATTAAATAAATAAATAAATTATATTTTCTTTTATTTTTTCGTAAATGGTATTGTGTATATTTGGATTTAAAAATAATTTGCACCTTCTAAAATTTAAAATGCAATTTTTTTTCAAATATACTAAATTATATTTAAATATTTTAAAATTTATTTAAATTTTCCCAAAAAAATTAAATTTTGAAATTCCCGCGTAATTTTCCGCTTGAATTAGTTCCGATACAAATCTCTTGGAGCGCTGAATTTCATATCTTAATAAAGTATTGTCGTGAAGCATCTAGAGGTAGGTGATTTATGGTCAGAGTTGTAGATACTGGGCAAAAGAAAACCCCCACTGGATGCGTGAGCATCATACAAAATACTCGCAAAAGGTAAATGTATGGGCTGCCATTGTAAGAAATCGAATTATTGGACCCTACTTTATTGAAGGTAATTTAAACGGGGCAACGTACCTTAAGTTTTAAGGGGGTATCTCGTACCTACTTTACGTAATTTGTTTCCCAGCAGACGTAATCCTGGAGGTTTTGATGAAATTTTATGGTTGCAACAGGATGATGCACCTTCACATTATGCTGTAGATAATAAAAGGTACCTAGCAAATATTCAAGAATTACAACAGAGAACTCGGACAGCAATAAACAATATTTCTTAAGACACAATAAACAAGGTTCAACAAGAATTTGTACATTTGGGTTACTGTCAAATACAGCAAGGGCTGCAGTTTGAACATTTATAAAGTCATGTATTTCATCATATTCTGTCCGCTAGACAATAACTATTTTTGATAATCAGCCCCCTATTCTGTAACTACAAATCAAATAGAAATGAGTCAAATCGAATAGAGGTAAATAATGGTATAAATTAGCGGTTGAATAATTTTTGTACCTGCTTCATTTTTTAGTCTGTGGTGTTATTTATCCTTATATTATTTATTCCGCTTGCCATTTTGTATTCTTGGAACGAACTTTTCAAATTTAACCAAAAAAACATTAGAACTACTTGACGACAAGCTTGAAAAGTAATCTTCTTTTTTAATGAAATTTTCGCCTGCACTAGCCTTTCCAGTAACATAACGTCACAGAACATTTATTTCACTTTTCCATGCGGGGTTGCCACCAACTTCTGAGCGCGTCAAGTAGAAGTTGACGTTTTCGATTTACACCGATTACGATGTGAGTTATTCAGATCTATTCTGTAACTTTTGACAAATCGAATAGAAATCACCAAGTCGAATCGTAATTACTTGAAATCGGAATGTTGGATATCTATCGCGTCGTTTTCGTGTTTGGATTGGCATTCTATAACTCACATCGTAATAGGTGTAAATCGAAAACGCCAACTTCTACTTGACGCGCTTAAAAGTTGGTGGCAACCCCGCATTGATATGTAAAATAAGTGTTCTGTGACGTTATGTTACTGAAAAGCCTAGTGCAGGCGAAAAATTCATCAAAAAAGAAGATTATATTTCAAGCTTGTCGTCAAGTAGTTTTGACATATTTTGGTTAAGTTTGAAAAGTTCGTTACAAGAATACTAAAAGCAAGCGTAACAGCAAAGAAAAAGATATCTGTTGAGCAGTTAAATTATTTAGTAAACTTTATTTAAATAAATAACACCACAGACTAAAAAATGAAGGAGCCACAAACATTATTCAACCGTTAATTTATATCAACAAGTCAAAAAATAAATGTCAAAACAACCAATGCGCAAGCGTCAAGACCAATTTCGATGTCGAAATTTGATCTCGACAGATCTTGTCTAGTCGAAATCAATTTCTACATAACATTCCGATAGTAGAGGTCGAGATGAGTTACAGAATACCGATTTATACAAATTCCGATCCGACTTGCTGACCTCTATTCGATTTGACTCATTTCTATTCGATTTGTAGTTACAGAATAGGGCTGATAGAATGCCAATCCAAACACGAAAACGACGCGATAGATATCCAACATTCCGATTTTGAGTAATTACAATTCGACTTGGTGATTTCTATTCGATTTGTCAAAAGTTACAGAATAGATCTAAATACTGTTAATTTAACTAACTCGTTACTTTATGAACACCATACAAAATATTGTATTTTTGTCCACCCTGTGCCAATTTAAATCAACATATGATACATTTTTGGAATCAGCTTAGCTAGAGTCATCCGAAAATTAAGACAAAATGGGGGTGTTCTATTTAAAAATAAATGAAGGTGACGTCATTACTCGAAATTAATTCGCCCTGTATATTAGAATATTATTTTAAAATACGGTAAGTTAAAATAAAAAATTGCAGTGTTCCAGGATTATTTATTAAAATGCTCTGTTTGGCTAAAAAATAATTTGTTCCATACTTTTCGGACACAGTGTATATTGAAGAGTATGTTGTAAACTTCATTTAGTAAAAGAAAGTATTTGTATATATTATAAGACCAAAAATGACATAAGCCTCAGTAATGGCAAAAATGAGAGTACTGAGAAGAATTACAGAAAATACGCTGAGAAATTGAAAGAGAAGTCAAGACATTAGAAGAAAATGTAACCTACTGTGTATAAATGATAAAACACAAAATAGCAAAAAAGAATAAAACAAGCACCATGGAGGAGACTTGTGCCATCAAAATAGTAAGAAACAGTCACCAATCGGAAGACCGCGCAAAAGATGGAGTAACAACCGTCCATATAGGTACTAATCCGCCAATAAACAAGCAGAATTACTTTTAAGAGGACGAAGAAGAAGATATATATATATATATATATATATATATATATATATATATATATATATATATATATTTGAAACAAGGCATACTTATTTGTCAAAAATTATGTAATAGGGATAATACATTACCGGAAACATCACCAAATAGTAAACAGGCGTCTAAATCTTTCATAGAATAATCTCCAATATTATATATGATTTCGTCTGGGACCAATGATGCCATAATCCTCACATGCTTTTCAACATATTGATCTCCATCACTTTCACATCTTCTTGTAGTTGTTACTATGGGCTTAAGTCTCCTTTTCCTAAACTCTTCTGCTTCTGCACTTTGAATAATAGATGATTTGAGTGCCCACAAATATTCTGAGGGCGGTTCGAGTGCTAAAAATGTGACAGAGTAAAGGATAAATCTTGGATGGATAACTCTCGTATAATACCACCAAGTGGTTACTAATAATAATAATATCTAAACCTAAAATATATCACCCTAAGCAATGACCTTAATATCGGACGGATATTTTAAAATGTTTATACTCTAGTCGTCAGAGACCAAAATGCCACTCAACCTCTAAAAATCATACGGCCAAGCTGAATTTTGCCGGGAATATTAATTTTTGGGACCTCAAAAAGATGCAAAAAGTTTACTTTTTTAACCCCCGGGCTTCTCCAGAAATCCCCCTCGAAGAGGGGTAAACGCCACAGAAAAAAATGTTTTAAATATAAAATGTAATAACTTTAAACTCATGCGATCAATAGAATCTATCATTTTTATTGACTGGCTACTATCAATTTTCGATTACTAGAGCCTAACCTTTAAAACCTATAGCATGAAATTTTACTTTTGAGTTTTGGCAAAAAATGTGAGATATTTAAAATACGCTTAAGAAATGTTGGATTTAAACTTTCACATAACAAACAAACGAAAACGTTTAAAACTGTTTTTCAGTTAAACTAGACGTTTTTCAAAAGAACCAAAGTTCTACTATAAACTACACCAAAACCGTGTTTTTAGTCATTTCCAGTGACGTGCGATTGTTTAAAATGTAAAACATTAAATTCTGCTTTCTACAACTGTAGTTGTAACTGTGTTCTTCTCTCATTGAGAAAGATAGATCTTACATTTCACTTACATCGAATCCCACTTGTTCTCCATAAAGGAAATGCAATACATTAGTCGCATCCTTAGCCTCTTCCAATAAGATTAACCGTAATACAATAAAAAAACTAAAATCCACAAACCAACACTATCGGTTCGACCCATAGTAGCTTCCATTGGAACTCACACTGAAAATATCTCAGCTTTTGTTACAGACATACTTACTAATGCATATAATTATGAACTTCAATATTACATTAAAGATTCTTTTGAGAACGTAAAAAAATATATTGGTTACATACTACCATCAAATTATGTGATCGTTAACCTTGACGTTATATCCTTATTCAGCAGCGTTCATCCAGGAATATGTTTGACATTAATAGAGATCAACTGGGACCGTATTAGAGGTTGTTGTTCCATGTCTTATGACAGATTCATCAGCATCGTCGAATTTCTCTTTAACAACACTTACTTCTCATTTAATGGAAAATTACGTTATGGGTTATGTGTTAGACACAGTCATTCCTTTATTATCCTTTCAAATTCCATTTATTAAAAAATATGTTGATGATATCATTTTAGCTATACCCAATAACAAGGTTGATGAACTATTAGATACTTTCAATAGTTATGACTTCTACATCCAGCTCACTATAGAGAGGGAAAATGGTAATTGGTCTGTCTCCTTTCTCAACATAAGGATGATCAGGGAAAACAACAACATTAAAATAGATTGGTATCAAAAACCGACCCATTTTGGTAAATACCTTAACTACCACTCTTACCATAATAATTCTATCAAAGTCCACTTAATCAAACAGATGAAAAATAGAACTATCAGATTCTTCTTTTCATACAAGAAACCATCAAATACTACAGAAACTTTTCATTTCAAACGCTTATCAAACAACATTAGTGAATGAGATTTTGTTTAACACTATCCATAACGAAGTTACTTCACCTTCCTTCACGACTAACAATGCTAATCCTGATATTTTAAGTGAGAACCAGTCTCGGATACTCCTATCAACAAATATTTTTCATTACCATACTTCAGAGATATCACTCCGGGTTAACAAGGATTCTGAAAAGTGTTTAATTGAAAATAGCTCTGGTAATAATAATAACAACATTAAACTCAATGTGGCTTGTAGATCAGCCCTAACAATTAATAATCTTTATTGTAAGATAAAAGATAAGACTCCCATAGATAGGCTTAGTAACTTTGTCTACAACGTTTCATGCCTCTCTTGCAACAATTCCTACATCGGCCAAACATCTCAATTAATAAAATTACGTATCGCTACACAAAAGTGATTCTCGACGTCACCCTGACCGCTGTGCATTAGCCAAACATGTCCATTCCACTGGTCATTTCATGAACTATACTAACACTACAATTCTCCACCGTAAGAACAATAAATCTAAAAGAGAGTTCATTGAAATATCTTATATTTTCCTTAACGATTTCTCCATTAATGATAAGAGTGACATTAAGAATTTAAGTGATATATACCACTTCTTACTTAAATCAGATACCAAGAACAATACAACATCACAGATAACTAACTTGACTGATATATCCATTAACAACGAACCTCCTTTAATAATAATCTTCATTAACTAAAAAAGATAACATTAACTTGCTTTTCTTAGATACATCTCAATAAGATATTATTATAATAATCCATGAACAATATATTTTTTTTAATTAGGAAAATCTAAAATAATATTTCCCTAAACAGGGATTTAACTTCATTCTGTTTTACCAATGAACCTTAACGACATAAAGATTCAAAAGTCCTACTTGAATTGTCAGCATATGCGTTCTAATATTCTTACATTTAAACTTTTAAACAATCAAAAATTTAGTTATTACCGACAATTCAAAGAATTACTTCCTTTTAAATGTAGTTGCATTAGGTTTTTCGATTAACCTTGGGTACACCTTTGCGTTTTAAGTTCAAAGTTACCATACATTTCCAACGGTAAAAAACTTTTTATCACATAGTAACAAACTATGTTGTTACTAGCTAAGTTTTTTTATCATTCTAACTCTTCAATTCTAAGTTACGGTAAGATCACCAGTGGTTTTTTTAATAGATAATATATGGTGGCTAATTATAATTTATTCTCTTTCAGCCCTGACGAAGCAAAATTAATTCTTTTTGGCGAAAACGTTCGGCGAAACAATTGATACTTATTAGAGTCTTTCTTGTAGATTTTCCCAATATTTAACAGTTTACTATTTAACTTATCTGCAAAGATTAAATTTCTTTTCTATATATATACATATACATACATATATATATATATATATATATATATATATATATATATATATATATATATATATATATATATATATATATATATATATATATATATATAATGTTCTCTGTGTATCAGAGGTAAAACACATCATTAAAAGATGTTATAAACTAAGTTTTACTATCCTTGACCTAAATTTTAAAGTTTTAGAATGTATTTTGTCCATTATTTTATATTTTATATTTGACATGTGTGTTATTAATGTTAAATATCAAAGCTTTTTGTAAACGACTCAACGACTAGTAAGTAGCACTAAAGAATTGCGATATTTTGTAAACATTTACACATTTTTCTTATTACAGTGTCTTGAAAAATGAATAAAACAATTCCGAAAGACAAAAAGTCAAAAGAGTGTTTCTTTAACATCCCAGCCAAACTTCTGACTGCAGCCCTAATAAACTGTGTTGTTTGTTTATATAGTCACTAATATCCAGTATTTCTTTTCTATCGTTTTTCTACCATTTCTACTTCTATTCTTTTTCTATATTTCTTCGTGATCTACCAAACTTCTGCCCCATAAGTCATAACAGGCTTTAGATATTATTAGATATTATAGATCCAAGATATTTATATTCATTACATATTTTTGTGTTTCTAAATTCTAACTCTAGATCTTCTTCATCAATTTCTATTTTAGATACTCTGTCTTTGACATGTTCTTTTTTAGATTTCTAAACATGTAATCCATGTCTTCCTCTTCATTCGCTACGACTACATAATCATCTGCGAAAAATAAAGTTGTTAGACATTTACCACCACCAATATCTATTTCCATTATGGATACTTCTTTTCTGCACTGCTTTAGTGATAATTGAATATATATTTTAAATAAGATCGGAGATAGACAACATCTTTATTTATACCCCTTTGTAATTGAAAATGATTCAGATATACAATTGCCTTCTTTAACAACACTTCTTGCATATTTGTATATATTTGCGATAGCAGCCACATACTCTCTACTGAGACCTACTTTCGTCAATCTTTAAAACAGTTTTTCAAAGGTACCGTAAGTATGCCTTTTTTAAATCTACAAACAATAGGTGGGTAGATAGATTTCTTGCCTTCTATTTTTCGATTACTTGCTGCAGAACGAATATACCGTCAGTGCACGATCTTTATGTACGAAATCCATTTTGTTCTTCTATGTCTTCGTATTCTGATTCTATTCTTTCTTTTATTATTCGACTGTACAACCTCTCCATTGAGCTGATAACAATTATTCCCCTATAATTAGATCATTTGCGTTTATCCCCTTTCTTGAATATTGAGCTGATGTATCCAACATTCCAATCATCAGGGATATTCTGTCCTTATAAGCATTTGTTAAATAGTTGAACCGACATCTCATGTAATATTTTTGGTCCATACTTTACCAACTCAATTGAGATGTCTCCAGGTCCTACTGCTTTACCATTTTTCGATCTTTTGATGGCATCGGTTCACTCTCCAGTTGTTATCTCAATTATTTGTGTATGTTTGGATATTTATTTCATTTCGATCTCTGGAATTTACATCTATCTGTCTGTTGGTAAGATCTTATAATGGTGTTTCCACTGTTTTAGGTCTATTAACTCCAAGTTAGATTTTTCCTTTCCTTCCCTCGGAGACCTTATCACCTTCCAAGCTTGCACAACTCTTGTTCCACCCATATACCTATCCACCTCTGCACATCTTCGATCCCACATCTCACTTTTACTTTTCACTACTTCTCTTTTTACATCTTAATTTAATTTTTTATATATCTTGTAATCTTCCTTCTTTCTCGTTGACATCCATTTCTGATAAGCAGTTTTCTTCTTGTTTACTAACGTTTGCATATTCTCCGACCACCATTATTGATCTTTTGTTTCATGTTTGTCTTTATACCCCAAAGCTTCACTTGCAGCCTCATGAAGGCATTTTTTAAGTTGCTGGTATAATTTTTCCCCTAATATATTTTCTCGATCGACATTTTGTAATTTTGTGGCCAGTCGTAATTTGTAAAGAAGGGTTACATTTAAAGGATTTTACTATTTGTCCGCTTTCTATGTTTTGTACCTGAGTGTTATTGTTGGCCATAAGTAAACGATGGTCGGATCTACATTCTGATCCACGGTATACCCTTACATTAGTTGTTTTTAGCTGGGAAGTTTCACATTGGATTATTTAGTCGATTATCGAGCGCAGATTCCTAGTAGATTGTATGCATGTAAATTTTTGGGGATGTCTCTATGTTGAATAAAGCCATTCATAATTTTAAGACACATTGTTTCACAAAAATTTTTAAGAGGCATTCCGTTGTTATTGGTTATTTGTTCCCCATATCTTCCTACGACTCTGTTATTTTCTTCTCTCCCTACTCTGTCGTTTAATTCTACTAGTATAAAGATTTCACAGTTTTTTTTAATTTCAGAGAGTATTTCATTTATCTTATTGTAGAAATTGTCTTTACTTTCTGGATCTGCATCTTCATTTGGAGCATATACTTCGACAATTACGATGTTGTGTCGATTTTTTTCATTTCCAATATTAGAAGTTGTTCATTTACTTCAGTCCACGAATTAATATTATTTTTAAGATTTTTTCGAAGGGCAATAAGGACTCCTCTCTTAGCTTTGTTATCTTTACTCGCTCCACTGTAGATATGTATATATTCTCCTATCTCCTTATTTCCTTTTCCTTATTTCTTGGTCTCGGTGAGAATACATATATCTAATTTTCTTTCTGCAAATTCTTTGAATACTTCTGCTTATTTGGTTCTAAGTCCTTGTACATTCCATGTAGCCAATATAATTTTCCTTTTTCGTTGCATTGATCGTTTTTGTTTTGATCCATACTTTGTATTCCGAGACTTTTGGTCGAAATTTTTAGCATTTATTTCTTTTGACAAAGGATGAGTTGCTAGCCCATCGCCTCAACCCTCCTCCTTCATCCGGGCTTGGGACCGGCACTGACAGTTACTGAGCTACTCAATCCACCCAGCACTTACCCAAGTCGGAGTTTAATTGTTTTTGATAAACAATTAATTAGAGCATTTTTTATTTCACAAATATTTATGCATCGTAGAATATTTGTCAAGATTTTGAAATGAATGACATATTTAAAAAAAATATTGGCATATGTATATTATCTGGTGATCACACTACGCGTCAAGTTGATATGTATTGGTCGAGGGATAAGGATAAAGAAGTGCACATTATAAGAAAAAGCATGAGCCGACATAGATTTCGTTCAATTAAACGTGAAGAGAAGAAAATAGTGAAGAAACCGGTATATCAGCCGGTATAGCAATGTAAAATTTAGTACATGGACGTCAATCTAAATTTGCTTTAACAGATGAAATTAGATTTGACAATATTGGCGACATTACGAAAAGAGACAATACTAGTGCAAGAATGTCGGATGTGCAAAAGCAATATTATTTATTTATGTAAAAGGTATAGAGCGTATCTACACCCCGAATGTTTCGAAAATTTTCAATTTAAAATTAAATTTACATTTACAAGATACAATATGTTCGCTTATTAAAAATTGAACTGTTTTTCCGTGCAAATAAGAAAAACAATCTTTTTGGTTCTAAATTAGTCTTAATTTATGTGTTTTTATTCCAATCTAATAAATTAATTCTCAAATTTTTCTTCCTTTATTGTATCGGGCGATAATGGGTTAATACTACAAAAAGAATAAACTTACCTCAAATTTACTTTACTTACCTCAAAACTATAAAGTTAATAATAAAGTGTATTTAATAAATATATTTCCAAGAAATAAAACACCTCGCCAACGTACATATAGAATGTGAAACGAATAAACTATGCCTTTCATTCCCATTCGTTTCAAAATTCAAAATTCAAAATTGCTATTCAATGAACTTACAATCGTGAATTTATATTGTTATGGTAGCAAATTTTATGGAAATATCTTCCTGTCACTTATTTACATACGAAGCATACACAATAAAAATGGTCCCGGTAAGAATTTATTTCTGACATTTAACATAGTTGCCATTAGCTTTTAGTTCAATTTGTCGATGACAGAAAAAGGTAAAAAGATAAAATCAGAAAAGATCAGGAAAAATGGGAGTGAGACAATGAGAAATAGTGGCACATGACCAAAAAAAAAATGAAAGGTGATGGTTAACGTGACAAAGACTCACGAAGAGATGTAACGCCTTTGATGATGATGATGGATGACATAATCGGTTCCTATCACCGCATTGTATCCACATGTTTATAAAAGGCGTGATTATAATTCTAATGATAAGAGTGGACTAAAATATGCCTATGAATTCAAAATATGAAAATAATTAGGAATAATTTAAATTATTTATGGTTGGTCGAAATTTTATCACGCACAATAAATTCACTTTATGTCAAGGACGCAGAGATCGATGAAATAAATCAATAATATGGCATGAACTGTGAGGATATTGTTGTCGATAGGATTTAAAAAGCTTTGGTGTGGTTTAGTCACTAAAAAAATATGTATAATGACCAGCAACCAAAGCCTTTCTCACCTGAAATCTTAAATGCATAGATGTTAATGTGAACAAAGATATTTTCAGCAGACTGATTTCAGCGAAAGTGACAGTTGAGAATTCATATACATATGTTAGACCACATACATTTTTGTTACCCAATAATATTAAGCTACTATATTATTCAAGAAGATAGGAAGACAGAGAGACATTGAGTTCGTTAAATTTTATTAACGTATTCATTCACTGATGATCTCAGTGCTTAAAAGTTCGACTTTCTAATTTCATTATTTCTACTATAGTTATTAAATCTAAAATCATTAAATAATAATTATTAATTAAATAATGTTTACTTACGATTATGCATAATATTCATATTTGATTTGTATAATTAATATTAAATTCTCTTATTAAAAGCTCTGGTATAAGGTAAAATATATTGTATTAAAACCATAATGACAAATGTCAATATGAAGTAACTTTTAGAATACAAAAAATCGAAATATTTGACAAAAAATAACATTTATTCTATACAAGGTAGTGAATCATCAAATTGATCATATATGAAACCCAATACAAAATTCTAAATAGTTGAATTCTTGCTTCCCTGAATAATAGTTGAATTATTTTACATCAAAAGTCATCAGAAACTATTTGTAGAACGCTGAAATCTGTATTGATAAAAAAAATGTTAGACAAAGGTTAAAATTGTTCAACGAATTAAACAGATTCCAAAAGTTTGCAAAAATATGGTACATTTGTTGTATGTTGTACAAGTTAGGCCACACATCGTGCAGAATGTGTAAAACCGGTTGCGCTAATCACAATAAAGTTAGATATTATTAGTAATTGAATTGTCAATATTTTTATTTTATTATTTCTTGTACCAAACCATCGAGTTTTTAACTCGATGTACCAAACAATGAAGTTGATAAAATGTATTCCGTTGAGGAGACAACAGCAATAACAAAGATAGGTTTTATTCAGGCAATAGTGCGGACACTATCAGTTTTTTTATTTAGCCTACATATCACAAAGACAAATTCCAAGTCATTCAACAATTCAAATGATTTTAAAAAAGTTTAAAAATACTGTATCCGTGATTCCAAATTGTACCTGTTCAAACAATATTGCTAAGGTACCCATATATTTGGAAAATCAAAAATCAAAATCAAAAGAAATAAATTCCGTTCGTATAAATTTCAATGTCATCAAGAACTAAGAGAAGGAGATACTCAGAGACGAGTGGAATTTGGCTATGAATATAGATTGACATTAAACAATGAACTATATAATATGTTCAAAATTATATGATTTGGTCTATAAGAAAGCCTGAATATATTGTTGAAAACAATGTCCAATGTCTGGTTAGAAATATTTAGACAAAATACAATTAAACCTCTTTTTTTATTATTTGAATAACGCATCAACCACGCAGGATCATTAGCATATTTAGATTAATGTGACAGTTGATTCAATTAGTGTATATACATAAGTTTACAATAATAATATGTATGTGTATTACAATGTATGTTTTAGATCTTTTGAAGTGATTGACAGTCTTAAGATAAGAAAATATTTTTGGGTATCTGTATTTTCTTCTAGGGCGTCTCTTAGGGAGTAGGGTATGCTATATTTGAGTGGTTCACTGTTATATTTGTGACACTGTATTAAAAAATGTTTTACCGTTAGAACACTGTTGCACACTTCACACACTGGTTTATTTTTGCGCTGTAATAAATAGTCATAAGTCGTGTATGGCCGATACGAAGACGGGTAAGTATCACTTGCTATTTTCTGTCTTTTATTTTTGGTTTCCGAAGATGTGGATGTTTGTTGACTTCGTATAGCCTTGATGGAGTGTTGTTCCAAGTTTGTTGCCAATTTGAATTATTTTTTGTTTTAAGTATGGTTTTAAATCGTTTTGTACCAATATGTTACTTTCTTAGGACATCGGGTTATTCGTGCGTTTTTAGCCAGTTTATCTGCAACTTCGTTACCTTCAATTCCGACATGAGAAGGCAGCCATAAAAAGTGAACTTGAATTTTCTTATTTGAAATGTTTATTTTTTAATAAGAAGTAGAAGGGAGTTATCACAGTACAATTTAGTCAGTGGGGATAATGAACTTAGAGAATCTGTGATTATTACACACATTTCTTTGGTTTTGTTTTGTATTAACGATAGTGCTTTTAGAATTGCGAATAATTCAGCCGAAAAGATGGTTTTACTTGACGACAAATTTGAAACTAACTGACGAGTCTTTCGAATAAATTGCTGCTCCAACTCGTTCTTCATTTTTTGACGCATCGGCGTATACGTTGTAGGTATTGCCATATCTGTTTAATAGTGTATAAAAATTTTGTTTAATGACGGTTGATGATATCTCTGATTTTCTTAGGTTTGTTAGACTGATGTCGATAGCAGTAATAGATATTGTTCATGGAGCGGGGTTGTAGTGAAGAGGTATCATATTTTGAAATTGAAAATTTAATTTGGATAAGTATGATTGTATACGAAAGTAAAAAGGATAATCAATTTAATGTCTTTGTTGAAATTTATTTGTAAATCGATCAACAAAAAGGTTATGCAGTACTGGATTATTTCGGTTTGATGACACTACTGTTGCATATTATGTTAGGCTTAGATATTGTCTTCTGAAAGAAAGAGGAAGTTCTCCACTTTCCCAATACAGACTTTGAATCCATAATTTGATTAAGTTTTGATCGAATTATAGATTTATAAATAATTATTAAACTTGAATAACCGGCACTCCAGTTTTTAAAGGTAAGTGATCGTAGTAAATTTATATCAGGTAGACAGGATTTTTTCAGCTGTTGAATATGTGTCTTCTAAGTTAATTTTTTATCAAACGTTATACCCAAAAATCATATTTGTTCTACATAATCTAGTTTTAGTTCATCTAGATATAATTGTTTTGTTTGAATTTTTTTTCTCTTTGAGAAACATGTTGCTGAAGACCACTGAAAATCTAAAAAAATCGAGAAAAAAATTTTTTGCTATATCGGTTTTCTTGACAATGGCGTAACACATAAAATAAATTTTTATAAAAAAACGTTTAAACCGTTTTGGAGCAATATTAACCCAGATACTTGCACTCCTACTGTCCGTTAAAACATACGCTTTACAAATTCCTGTGTTATTCAACTTTTAATATTATTCATAAGATATCACAACTTTTTAACTATGTATCAGTAGTTATTTGCATTTATCTACAGTCGACAGTTAGCTAAGGAAGGTGTCGAAAGTTTGCAATATATATTGGCACACGTGGTAAATACAAAATGGATGAAAGAAAGTAAGTATTTTAAGCATACTATGGCATTATTGTCTCAGAAAGCTTTAACATTTTCTTTCGTTTTTTATTAAATTTTACTATCGTTATTACTATTCTCAATATTTATTCCTCTATCTGGGAAAAATTATGCTTGAAAATTACTGTATGTTATAACATGTGGTAGAACAAGAGGCTACTCAGTCCTAACATTTTGTAACTTTTTAGTTATTGGACGAAACCATTGACTCTCAATGAATTATTAGATTAAATTGAACACCTAATATGTTCTGTCTTCATTACCTGATGCTATAATTGTCTTCCCTCCATCCGATAAATATGATACTGACGAAGCTTCCTGTAATGAAAACCACATTGACCTAAATAACCTTCCAGCTACTCAATTAGAAGTACAATCTACAGTTGTTTTTGATAGTGCGCCGTTGGAGGATAAGGGGCAGAATGAACTTATTATTTCGGATCCAGAAGATATTGCAATTGCAGATTCTGATAGTAAAGATAACTTTCTGTTGACTGTCCGTATGCCTCGCTCCCTCTGGTGTAAGTGCTCCACAACCTAAGCCGAAGAAAAAAAGAGAGTGTTCCTGGAAAAAAGAAATATTGATCCTTATTTTCCCGAGTGGAAACGACTAAGTGAACCAAAAAATTCTCTCACGCCTCTACAGTTTATTTCCCTTTTCATTGATGATGAAATTGTGGACCTAATTACATAGTATTTAGTAATCTATATGCATCTCAACACAAGCGCTCTAAAGATATCAATCAAAATGAAATTCTTCTTCTTCAAGTGCCCTGTTCGTTGCGAACGTTGGCCATTAACATGGCAATTTTGATCTTGTTTGCGGCGCTTCTGAATAGTTCGACCGATGTGAGCCCGAACCACTTCCGTAGATTTTGGAGCCACGAGTGTCTTCTCCTGCCTGGCCATCGCTTACTGTCTATTTTTCCCTGGACAATCAATTGCAGTAGACGGTACTTATCGTGTCTCAATATGTGGCCTAGATATTCAAGCTTTCTTTGTTTAATTATATTCACGATTTCTTTCTCCTTTCCGACTCTTTGAAATACCTCTATGTTGGTGACATGTTCGGTCCAGGATATACGAAGAATGCGTCGGTACAACCACATTTCTAATCCTTCTAGTTTTCTCGTGAGCGTCTCCGTCAGCGTCCAGGCCTCCACACCATACAGTAAGATCGAAAAAATGTAGCATTTAACTAGACGAGATTTTAGAGGAAGAGACAAATCCTTGCTTATGAGGAGCTTTTTCATATTGCTAAATGCTGCTCTAGCTCGTTCTATTCTCGCCTTAATTTCTGTGGCCTGTTTCCATTTTACATTTACGTTGGTGCCAAGGTACATATAAGATTCAATGAAATTAGATGGTTCATTGGGATATTACTTCTATGCGGATATTACTTATTTTCTCGTTGATCTATGTAATGTGAAAACAATGATGACGCAGGTTGTAAGTTGGTGTATTCGTCTATATCGCGAGATAGGTTCAATTGTATTATGCAAAATATACATGTTTCTGATAAAACCGAATTACAAAAAAGCGATAAATTTGCTAAACTGCGTCCGCTATTTGACGTAATCAATAAAAATTTTCATATGTTTCGGCCATTCGAAGAACATCACAGTGCTAATGAAGCGATGGTTTATCCTAGGTAAACCCATTAGATGGGGCTATAAACTATGGTTGGAACCACAAAACAGGGATATGTCGAATGGCTTAAACCTTATCAAGGTGCCACCACTCCACTTTCTGATACATACAAGGAATTATGATTAGGAGCCACTGTCGTATTGTATTTGCCGATAAATTGCATTCTGATAATCCAGGTGCGCCGTTCCACTTATTCTGTGATATTTTTTTACTTCCGGGTAAAAAATCGAGTTCCGGGTTGCCCTCAGAAAAATTCCAAGCTTTTCAAAAAAAGATCAGAGGGGTGTATTTGAAAACTCACTCACACAAGACGAACATTTATTATAGTATGTAAATAGAATGACAATAATGTCGTTACTATTGAATCAAATGCTACTTCACCATTGCCAACCTTACAGGTGATAAGATATTCACAGAAAGAAAAGAAAAGTATACTCATCCCACAGCCATTTATGAGAAAAAAATATAATGAAAATATGGGAGCAGTAGACCGTGTAAACCAAAACATAAGCTTATATAGAATAGGTATCCGAAACAAGAAATGGTATTTTAGTTTATTTTCGCATTGCCTTAATATGTCAGAGCACAATGTCTGACAATTTTATAAAAGTAATGGTAGAAAAATGGATCATCTTGCCTTCAGAAGATGTAGCGCCATGGGTATTGGAAATGTATAAGAAAACAACTAAACGCGGACCGTCAAAAAAAAGTTAACTAACGTATTTTGAGTCAATGTACGATATATTAGACCGTAACGTCATTTATTAAGAAAAACAAGGTGTGGTGTATGCCATAAGCAGGCAGCATTCAGATGTAACAAGTGCGATGTTGTTCACCGTAAATAATGTTTTTTAGCTATCATAATAAAGAATAACTTTATTGTTTATACTTAGTTCCATTTATTGTATAACGAAATCATTGATCCTTAAGTAGCTTGGATTCCTACTGTTGGTTATAACATACACCTGTTAACTCAAAACGACCAACCTAAATAATTTTTTTTAAACTTGTATATAAAACTTGAAGTAGAAAGCTATTCATAGCAGAATTTATTAAAAATTTTTAATTTAAAAAGTTTTAGGATTATCTGGGATGAAAAACTCGATTTTATTTTGCAACTTTAAGACCCCGTAACTTTTTCTGGGTGCTCTTTTGTATATAGGTAAGTTAGGTCAGATTCACTTATTTTCATCAATAAGAATCGTGGTATCATTTGTGACTAATCTTTTTGTGATACCCTGTATATATTATATCTTGACAAAGGTACAAAAAATTAATAAGTCTGTAATGTATTTGCAACAACTTATCTGCTAGAATATTTATAGATTTTAAGGTCAATTTAAAGCTTTTCCGCTTTTAGAGGTACATAACTTATGTTACGCTCGAGAAAACCGCATAAAAGTTGTTGATTAATGATTCTATTAAGGAACGTTGAAGTGTTATTTTTGAAAGGAGGCATTTTGGAGACTCGTTAGTAATCATAGACGGATCATAAAGAACATATTAAAGGATAATTGTTTGCGGATACAAAATTACAGCTGTTTTTTATTATCTTCTTTTTCTTTAAGTGCAATCTTCTTTCAGATGATAAGTAATCATCACTTCTATTTTCACTTTTCATACTACAGCTCTGGCTCTGACTAAGCAAAAGAAATTAAACGCGCTTTTTTTAAAAATTCTTCTATTTTTATAATATTTTTTTGTATTATTGTCTGTAACAAGAAATACTAAGTTAAATATTATGTTTATATGAGATTAAGTCACAATTAATTGTAAAATTGAAAATTACATTTTTTATTAAAAATTTGTCGTTTCAATTTCCATTCCGGAAATCGTTTTCAAAAAAAAAATATTTAAGAATAATTGTGTTAACATATATCTTTTTAAAAGGCAGGCAACAGCCTGGTTGTGGCTGAAATGAAATTGCGTGCTTGTTCGTGTAGAGGAAGTGAGCCAAATATGGAATATGCTCTTAATATGGAATACCGTATTTTCTAGAAAAGTTAATCGGCAACATTGCATTTATCCAACCCAATAATGGTACCTCTAGCTGTAGTAACGTGACAGCATTCAGTTCACAATATTGTGATTCAGTTCTGGCTCGCTATTCTCGACATCGCTCGCAATTAGCGCGTATACGCAAGTTGCGAAGGATTGATTTGCGAACATTTCCTAAAAATGGTATTCTTGACCACCGTTCGCACCAACATGCGATCGTTCGCATTGTTGACGTCTAAATACATTTAGCAACACTGTAAATATCTAAAACGCCTGTCTTCACGGCACTGCTGTCTGCTGTCGGATCGAAATAAATAGGTTAGATCTAGATATCCGTTATTCCCTTAACAAATAACAAAATTTGTTACAATTTAGATACATACGTATTTTGTATTTTTATATTTTAAAAATGGAAACTCCAGCAGTAAAACCACGAAGAACAACAAATGCCTCCGACGAGCAGAAAAGATTATTGCTGGAGTTTATAAAAAAAAATCCACTTTTGCTAAGTGGAAAGTTTTCGAATTCCTTTAGTCAAAAGGATGCACAGAACCAATGGAACCAAATAGCCAATGTACTAAATAGTTGTGGCGATGGGGCAAATAAAGACTGGAAAGCATGGCGAAAGGTAATAAATAAAATATAAATATATGTAAGATCCGATTTCCCTTCAAGCCAACACAATGTGATTCATCTAAAAGCCAAGTTTATTAAAAACAAATACATAAGTTAACAACTGATGAAATACTAATCTGGAAACAGAGAAAGGACAATTGTTCATGCTTTTCTATTCTTGTTATAAAAACTTGAATATTGTCTTGTATGTTACCCACATATGGGTAACATTATCAACTTGATAATGTTACCCATATTATGATAAATAAAGACAGTTTATTTGTTTTTAATAACCACTTATATTTCTTCAACTATTGTCAGAAACATCTTAGTATCTTATTTTAAACAAGATTGACTTACACTGATTGGCTTCTGAGGCATCGAATTGTAAATGTAATATTGACTGTGTGAATTTTGTAGACATGGCAAGACATTAGAAGTAGAACAAAGGCCAAAAGTGTGCAGTACAAAAAACATACACAAGGTACAGGGGGTGGACCACCAGTAAAAGAGGAAAATGCATTTGAAAAGGAAGTAATGGAAACAATCACAGTAATTTCACTGGCCGGGCAACCCAACATAGCTGAATCAGCAACAAATTTTGATATGCCTGAGATCGAAGTAGATAACTTGTTGTCCACTGACCAACAAAATACAGTAGATGAGGGCGAATTCGATCAACAAAGTGAGGTAAAAACCATTACTGTAACCAGATGTGAAATGAAACCAGAGTGCAGCCAGAATGTAGGTAAAACTAAAAACAAAAACCAATCGAAAAACTTAAAATACACATCAGAGGCAGCCCTAAATTACCAAAAATCCTTACAAGAAAAAAATATGATAAAGAAAAATTATTATGAAAAAAAAATTGAATTGCTGGAGAGATTAGCCGTCGCTAAAGAAAGAAGCGCAGATGCTAAAGAACTTGCTGCAGCTGCCTTACAAAATATATCAGAAAAACTGGATGAGTTATTTTAATTTTTAATTATGATTTTGTTTGTATTTTTATAGTAAATTTCTTTGTTGGAGTGACATTAAAAGTTTGATTAATTATGTATACTTTTTCTTGAAGGGGCATAGGTTCGTTTTAATCCTTTCAGTCATGACTTTTTTTTGCAAAGATAAAAATTTAAAACTATGAGGTGAAATATATGGTTTCAAATATTTATAAACAACAAATTTTGCCCATTAACATTATGCTTTTTAAAACAAACAGAGACAATGTTTGTTGAGACAATAAGGGTGATTCAACGTAAAAAATGGGAATTAGCTATCGTGTTCGTTTAAACGAACATGGTGACTGAAAGGGTTCAAATACAATACAATTATGATTTGGTGATTACCCTCAATACAACAACGAAACCATGCAAATAGGAACAAGTACAATACAGAAAGTCAAGGCGTATATAATTTGACTTGTCTTTTAGAGGTATTGGGCATATTTTTTTTTTTTCGGGATATAGCTAATTTTTCCAAATATTATCTGTGCAAGTCTTATTTTCCTTTTTATTCCTGCTGTTTAATTTCCTTAACTCATTTTCATTATTTGACCTAAGTATAAATCAGCATATCATCGGAAATCAAACAGCAGAAATAAAAAGGAGAGTAAGACTTGCGTGGCTAATATTTGGAAAAATGAGCTATATTCTGAAAAACAGAAATATGCCCAATACCTCTGCACAAAAGTAAATGTTCAATGTGTCCTACCAGTATTTACATATGGAGCACAGACATGGACCTTCACAAAGGAACATGTGGAAGAGATGGCCAAGACTCCAAGGGCAATGAAAAGACAGATGCAGTGTATCAAGCTAAGTGATAAAAAGGAAAATACATAGATCAGAAATATAACCAAAATAAAAGACATAGACAAACATGCAGCTACTCTCAAATTGAAATTTACAGGACACAATAGCAGATAAAGAGACACAAGATGAAATGAAGTGATAACCCACTGGAGATCTTAGGGCCATAAAAGAGGAAAGGGCAGACCACAGATGAGATGGTCAGATGATCTAAAAAAATATACAGTAAGTAGATGGGCAGGATAAGCACTAAACTGAGAAGAGTGGAAAAATAAGGGGGAGGCCTACATTCAACTTTGGACCAATGAAGGGCAATAGATACATAGGTAATTCAGAATAATGAAAAAATGCCACACAAGGGCAATTAGAAATATCTCTAATTTAAAAAAATAAAAAGTTTATGGAGCTGCAACTTTAGGTTTAGGTAAATAACATGTTTTTGCAATAAAAATTAGTAGTTGTGGAAAACAAACAACTTTGATGAAGAATAACATTTTTGATAAATTGGGAAATAAAAAGTTTCCCTCTTGTGTGGTCCCTATGGAAATACACTGTATACAGTGATGAGCTTGCTAAAACACGCAAAAGATGGAAAACATAATATGTTGTGGAATAAAAAGAGATGAAACTAGTAGATGTGTAAAATTATTGATAGGAACATAACATCACATAGTTTCCCACCTTTAAACGTCTGTGACAATTGTCATACTGCTCTGATACGTCCAAAGGTGGAACACTGTGTAATGTAATGTAAATTTATAGGTTCCTATCGATAATTTTACACCTCTACTAGTTTCATCTCTTTTTAATTCACAACATATTATGTTACATATTTTGCTGGTTATTAGCACGCTCATCACTGTATAAATTTAGATAAAGGAGATAAGTAAAAAGCGAATATGTATTACTAATATATTTAATTATTTGTAAAGAAATTGTTAATTAAATTTTGCCTTAATCTTCTACCTGCTGCAAGTTCAGGATTGACACGTCTTGCTGCATTTTGTACATTTTCATTTTGTGGCTGGTTAAGTTCATTTAAAATTTGTCCCAAATCAATGTTTTCTTCATTAACATCTTCTTCAACATCGGAAATGTTGTATTCAATGCACATATTATGAAGCACTACACAGGCATTTATTATTCTGCTAGCGATTGCAGGTTTGTAGTGCAGTACTCGGTGTTTTAGTAAACATCTAAATCGCATTTTTAAGACACCATTACACCTTTCGATTACATTCCTTGTTCGTCTGTGGGCTATATTGTAATTGTGTCCAGGGTCGTTTGCAGCAGGTTCTTCCTCCAAAGGGGTCAAGAGCCAGGGCCTTAATGGATACCCACTGTCTCCTAATAGATAATAGTTTTTAAAATTTCTTCTATGTAGGTTTTCTAATATACCCAAAACATTTGAATTGGCCCAAATATATGAATCGTGCGTGCTTCCTGGGTACCTTGCATTCACATTCATTATTTTAAGATTACTATCACATATAAGCTGCACATTTATCGAATGATACCCCTTACGATTCACAAAGATGTATTCAGGATTTTCCTCATCATTAACTTTTGGTGGAAATATAGCAACATGGGTGCAATCGATGCATCCTACAACACCAGGAAAATTAAACTTTTCAAAAAACTTTGTCCTAGTTTCGTTTAATTGCTCAACATTCCTTGGAAAATGTACCCATGTGTTAAATATATCGGGTTCGTTAAGTGCCACACTAACTTCTTCTAGACATCGCGACATTGACGGTTGTGAAATTGATATAAATAATCCATTCGCGATGTCCATCTGGTAACTGCCTGTTGCGAAAAAACGCAATACAGCTAAAACCTATAAAATATAATGTTAATGGCTTTACTATAAGACAAAATGAAAAACTTACCCTTGTGGTCACGCTTAAATCTGTGGCTCGTCTTTGTACTCTCATGTGCGGAGTGAGTACTTCAATTAAGTAACGGCACAATTCCTTACTTAATCGAAAATTCTGCACAAATTGATTATCAGATAACATTTCAAATGGATCAATGTTGTTAAATCGGTTACGGTTACGTCGTTGGACTGCTTCTTCCGCGTTTTCCAAATATTCAATGTCGGCAATAGCTTGCAAGTCGTCCATAATTAATACCCAAATGAGTGTATCTAATCCCTTTATTTAATAATTTTCATATAATTTTCTTCTTAAAAATGATTTTAACTTTACCTGGAAAGTTAATAATATGTAAGTATTAGATATTAATGAATGAATAAAATTTTATAATAACTTACAGTTCCAAATTTTCTACATAAAAGTCACAGCAACAATTAAAGATACTGAACAATTTGCAAATTTCATTTACAAATAAATAATCTTAATTAATATTTTGTTTAGAGGTTACAATCTTCACTTGCAAACACGATGCGAATGATTACAACCACTCGTAGCGAGTTTAGAACGCTCGCAATTGTTGCGGGCGCTCAAGAATACGAAAAACTCGATTTCGTTCGCATCGTTCGATCTTGCGAATGACATTTGTACTTACGAGTGGTCAAGAATAGCGCCCCTGATCTAGTGTTTGTATTGTGGTGTTCGTAGTGTGAGTACAGTTGCCTTCAGAGTTATTTTAGATTCCGCAAGTTTTTTGTAGGTAAGTACTTTGAACAAGCATAGTATAAGTTCTGCATGAAATATAATTTTGGTAACACCCATCTATTATGTAATAGGCATGTTTTCTTGTGTTTTCTTAAACAAAAACTCTATATCTTTTTCGCATGTAATGATATTGCAGTTGGAAATTCAAACATTGTAGTGTGCCTAATATGGAATACTTGAGGGTATTAAATATGGAATATTCCATATTTGGAACATTTTTTTATCATAATATTATATAACAAATATATCTATCTATTATGTTACTTATCGAGTTTCGTAATTAGTTTGGTTTGAAGATTACATTTCTATTTGTTGCAGGAAAATGCCACAGAAGAAGAAAAGTGATAAACCCTGCAGAAAGTCGTGGAACAAAGATGACATGAAACGTGCTATTTAGGCCGTTAGGATCAAAGAAATGGGATATAAAAAAGCAGCAGACACCTTTGGAATACCCCGTTACACTTTATTTCGATTGGCATCTAAACTTAATGATGCTGTAGACAAGAAATTAGGTAAACCCCCTGTTTTACCAGAAAATTTAGAAACAAAATTGGTAGATTATTTACTTTTAATGGAAAAGAAGTTCTTAGGATTAACTAGACGGGATGTTAAACATATGGCTTTCCAGTTAGCTACTGCTAATAACTTACCAAATCCATTTTCGAAAGAAACTGAAAGTGCTGGCAGAAAGTGGCTAGATTTATTTCTAAAAAGACATAAAAGTGCGATTTCTATAAGAAAGCCAACCGGAACCTCAATTCATCGGGCTAAAAGTTTCAATAAGGAAAATGTTAGCCACTTCTTCGATCTTCTGGAGTTAGCATTCGAGAAGCATCAATATCCTGCAGATAGAGTTTTTAACGTTGACGAGACTGGGTTGTCTATCATCCAATCGAAGGGTGCTAAGCAAGTTGGCTCGATAACGTCTGCCGAGAGGGGATCTCTAGTCACAGCTGTTTTATGCATGAGTGCAGAGCGAACTTTTGTTCCACCATTACTTATTTATCCTAGAAAGAATATGAATATTTTGCTACAAAAAGGAGCCCCTCCTGGATCAAAAATTGTGTGCCATCCTAGTGGTTGGATTCAAACGGAAATATTTACAGAATGGTTCCGGCACTTCATAAAAAAAAAACAAGACCATCACAAAGTGATCCAATATTGCTAGTTTTAGATGGGCACCATTCGCATTGTCGCAACTTACAAGTTATCGATTTAGCAAGACAAAATTTTGTGGAGATATTGTGCCTTCCCCACACTCTACTTATTATATGCAGCCGTTGGACAAAACTTTCATAGGGCCTTTAAAATCTCACTATAGTGAGGAATTAAGAGTATTTCTTCGAATCAATCAGAGGGCTGTCACACCTTTCGACATCTCTGAATTATTTGGTAGGGCTTATTTGAAAGTCCAAACTGGGGCAATATCCGTTAATGGCTTCAGAAAAGCATATATCCCACAAATTGCAATGTTTTCAAACACCACGATTTCCTTGCTGCTGAAGAGGAATCGCAATCTGACACCCCATTAAACGAAATTTATGATGAAAATGGGA